AACAGCGCATTGGAAGAAAATTAAATTTGCTTAAAAAAACTTTAACATGATTGTAAAACTGCCATCGAATGGGTCAAAAATTTCACGATTCAWAGTAAAACTTTTTGATGGCTTCTTGGAACTCGGCTTCGTGGAATGGTGGCGATGTAAAAATTCAGCAACCTCAAAATGGCTTTTTTAGTCTATTAGGTGATTGGCAATAATGGAAGGTTAGTGGAGTATGCTGATTATGTAGCGATCCTTAGTGTTTTCAATATTTCTTGTATAAGCTGTTGGAATGGTGCGCAGGATGAAAATGAGACGAGTGATGTCAAGAACCCGAACAAATGACTCCAAAATTAATACTTTTTAAAGTTGTCGTTTTACGGTTGGCAAATAATCTAGCAGTAACTGTTTTTGGAATTCATAATTACATAATTTATCAGTGTATTTTGTGTATCAAAATGATATTTGACGAGATACTCTTGAAGGTCTTCAACCATGCTTTGTGCCAAAAGAATTCCACGCAAACACACGTCTAGTACTACGTAGATAGCAAATTATATGAAAAAAGACACATCGGGAATTGAAGAAATTTTGTTAGCGACCAAAATTTCTATAACAAATGTAGGGATGCAAGTCGAATATAAAAGCTGAATTTTGCATAAAATTGCGCACAGATTGTGCTTGGATAAACTTCAATTAGCATAATTTCAAAGTATTCGAATGATTTGCGATCTGTTTTAGTAAGAAAAAACAGCAAAAATGACAYGAAAATGGCCTTATAAAACACTCTCAAGTTGATTATTGTAATTGTCAATTACTCATTCTCTATTCTACAAAAATTGTTATTGATAATAAAGGGCTTTGAATACTTACTTAAGTTCACACATTAGCTCTCAAGCTATATTTATAATTCTTCAGATATATACTTAAGCCTCAACTAAGTAAGAGTATTATTCTGTATCAATGTCTTTTCCTTAATGTAGGTGCTTCAAGAAATGTGGCAGATTTTTATAACAATGTTGCAGCACTTGGTGAATTTTCAAAATGCATGGATCCACAGTTCAAAGATATCAAAAACTGGGAACTCTTTGCATTTGGTCTTGATGTTCCTGCAGATGTAATACGTATTTGTAAACTGTACTCAGAGTATAGTCCAACAATAAGGCTGTTTCAATATCTGAGCCTCACACACCCAAATATGACTGTTAGTGATCTAAAAGCTGTCCTAACAAGAAATAAGCAGAGAGCAAGATTTGATTTGTACAGACTACTCAAAGGTACTATAAAGCCCTGAATTTAAAGATATCCAAACCTTCAGTCTGCCACTGAATACTCTGGCCCAGTAAATATGTTTAAAAAAAAGAAAAGGGGCAAGAAACAGGAAAATC